CATCATACACAGAGGAAACCAGATTACTGCGAAGAAATAAACAGGAAATCAGATAACACATCTGTATCCACAACAAATGTGGGATAGCTAAAACCACAGCTTATATAGATTTGAAGAGTGATGTGATGTCTCCCTGTCCCCTGCCATGTTTCAAGTCAGTATGGCTTTTAATTGGTATTCACTGTAAGCTGACCTCTATACACTGAGTTTCTACACTTCACCTGTAGAAACTAAATTATGCAATGGATGAAATTTTATTTTAACCCTCTGATCTGCAAGATATTCCACACCTTTTAATGCACAACAGGTCAAAAATGACCTGCATTCATTTTATCCACAGTATTTTATCCACATGTGAACTTTGTTAATGTCTTTAATGCAAACTTATGTTATTACCTAAGAAACAATCGGTTTCTTTTTTAATTTGTTATTTTATTGATTCTAAACAGATGTGGCAGCTCTGTCAATAAGCAACAAACACAGTGTTTTCAAATGGATTCCAAGTCATATTCTCAAGCAAGTGTATTCTATATTTTCACCTTGCATTTACTTAGTAAAATACAACATGTTGCTTCCAAGTGTCTCAGAGACGCTCTCTTTGATTAAGCCGCATAAATCAGCAGCTAGCTTGGTAAAACACAACAGATCAACAGCTACTTAGCTCTGAAACATTGGGTCAAGCTCTCAGTAAGGATTGTAAACATAACTATTCTTACCCAATGCTGGAAAATAACTAAGCACAATTATTCATGTATTCATGTACTCTGCTTACAATTTTGAGGTATCTGTACTTTGAGTGTTGCCATTTTCTGCTGCATTATCCTTAGACTTCACTACATTTCGCAGGCAAATATTGTACTTTTTAAATAAAACAAAATATAGCATAATCAGACATTACTAATTCTAAATTATTAGTACTTTTACTTTGGGTACTTTAATTTGACAGTCCATCGCAGGGCTGCAGGACCTTTAATTGTAACAAAGTATTTTTACACTGTGGTATTTATACTCTTACTTAGTTAAACAATCCGACAAACCACTGATACTACTGCCAAATATATAGACAGATTAAAGTTTCCTATTAAATTCCATTAAGAATACATGCAGGCCATTTTTGACCCGTCCTGCGCATTAATAGGGCACTGGTACAAAGATGTTTTTTTTAATTCAAAAATAAAATGAAAGAACATAAAAATAATTTTGTAATTTAAAAAAAACTACCCAATTGAGGAATTCTTTCAATATTGAGTGATAACATGCATCACATACAAAGATATTAAACAAAATCATTCACTCTGGTCACTTTGACCCATTCTGCGCATCAGAGGGTTAAACCCAAACCATGGATTTAATCATTTTGGTCTTAGGGGATGAGCAGCAGTGCTGATCATATTGTCCCACTGTGTTTCACTGCTGCCTCCGTGTTACTTTTATTGTTGGTGGTTTATTTTCATGCATGTAAAAATCAGAATCTCTGTTAAGTGTATAAATGGCCACAAAATCACTTTTTCTCCAGCATAAATCTAGCTTTATTAACCAATGTCTCTCTGTTAACCAGTGTTAACTCATTTCCCTTTAATCAATTAACCTGATAAAATAAACTGGATTCATCATTTAGATGGTGTCTTCCAAACCAGGTTACTGTTGAAAGCTGAGAACAATCACATCAGTTTTAATTGCAGGTAAATGTACTTTAATGAAGCCGGTGTGTGTGTACGTGCCATTACCTTTCATGTCTGCTCTGTCACACTGCCGCATGGCAAAGTTGGGGAGCATTTGCCTTTCTGGGGCACCGTATTCTATTCATCGCAGAGTTAAATGTGTGCATGACAGGTAGACAGAGTGTGAGAGGGAGTGAACTGAGTCATGAGGATGGAGACAAACTTGAGAAAGAAGGAATATATCCAACTGAAATTAAACAACAGAAAAAAGCTGGAGCAGCATTACACATTATGAATGGATATTGTAATGTTTGCTGTTCACATCTGTTTGCCTCATGAGCTCTCCCTTTCTCTTTCAGATGCTAAAGTACAAGCGTGCTTTCGCATACTCTCGATCCATTACACATTCACATGGCCCACCCTGATGTGTCCTCATGTTTACACAACTGGAACCAATGACACTGCTTCTGCAATCCTTCAAAATTAACCCTCCAGGTCAGACGAACACAAACAGACACACATAACCACTTCTTATAAACTCCTGAAGGAGCCGTTACTAAAGGAAATTAATGAGATGTATTGAACAGCCCAGAGATAACTCCAGTGCATGTACCTTTTCTTTTGTTGTGTGTGTTCAAGAGGCCGTTATCAGTTTCACAAAGAAAAACTAATTGACCATTTAGCCACTGGCTTTACACACAAACCTACACCATTAATATTACTATTGGTAGTCATCAATGGTGGGCAGTAACTAAGTACATTTACTCAAGTGCTGTACTTAAGTCAAATTTTGAGGTATCTGTACTTTACTTGAGTAGTTTCATTTTGTGCTAAAACATACTTTGACATTATTACATTTTAAAGGCAAATATTGTGCTTTTTACTCCACTACATTTACTTTTATAACTTTAGTTACTTCTCAGAACCACATTAAGTCAAAAATGACAGTATAAACATGAGACTTTACTGATCTCCGGTGGGTAATTCACAAGCTACCCAGCAGTAATTAAAATTATATACATATAAAGTAGTTAAATTTAGCTCCACCTTTACCAGCTGCGGCATTAAATGTGATGTACACATGAACACAGCATCAGTAATTATAACCCTAAGATACATTAATGTTAAATGTGCCATTCTGCATAATGAGTACTTTTACTTAAGTACCATTTCTGAATGCAGGACTCTGACGTGTAACAGAGCATTTTTACATAGTTGTAAGAATATTTTTGCTATGTGAGATATGCAACAATCTGATAGCATACATGGCATGTATGTGATTATTTAGATTTACAAATCATCTGCCTCATATACAAACAAAATGGTACAGCTGCAGCTCCCAGAGGAAAGAGTTGTACTGTACATTTGGAAATGACCTAATATTGACCAGGTCTGGTCATATAGTATCTTTAGCTCTCATGTAACATAGTGTGCAATAGAAAGATGTATTTATGAACAGTTATGAGAGTGTGAAGGATTGTGCATTTCTACACACTTATGCTGCATCTCTCACACTTCAACAGCAAGGTCATGGCAGCTGCAAGTTCTACCAGTGAGGAGTACGAGCATATTCTCCCTACAGCGGGTCTCTCCCTCTCCCTGTCTGAACCTTTACAACAGGAGTAGCTTAAAAATCTATGCTCAACACAGACAAGAGGCTCTGTGTGCCTGGAGGCTTGCTGAACTGAACAGGCTTCAATGGAAATAGCAGTGTAGATGTCTTTACTCAGTAGTTCTTACCGGATATCTTCTCTTCACGGAGAAAAAAAAACAAAAACATGACAATGTGAGGCCGATCCATGCAAAAAATCCTGTTTATTCCTTTGATTATTATGTAAGTGTGATGAAATGCTGTGCTGTTGATCCAACTGAGTCTTTAGAATGAAATAAAAAGACTGTTTCACAGCATTCAGGGTGAAAAACACTAAGTATATGACCAGTGTGCCTCATGTCTAGAGGAGATCTTCAGATTTGGTGAATAAAATTGAAACTGTTCTAAGTGTGTAATGCCAAATCTAAAAGGGCAAATAAATTAGGCACTTCCTGTTCTGAGTCACACTGACAGGCCACCACACTATTAACTGTTGTAAAGAAACAAGTTATACACACTCACTAACAGTTCCATATAATTTATTGAAGTGAAAATATATGCTAAATATACAGTATAGCATTTGTGTCACAAACTGTTTTTGCTGTTTTGATTACTTTGGTTGAATTACAACATAATCAGCCGCTCACTTTAATTTTGTTGGCAAATGACAAGCATTTTTTGTTAGACGGTCTCTACACAGATGTTTATCTTATTAGTTTGTTTCTGTTATACTCAGATGTAGTGTAAACAGCCATTGGATTCGAGGCAAAAAGACATACCTTCACTGATAAGTGGTTTCCTGACTGATGATGGCTAAGTTATGACATCAAGTTTTAAATGAATGTGCTGTGACACACACACACACACACACACACACACACACACATATAATTACTGCTTTAATACACATATAATGTACACACAAGGTTATTCCAGGCCCCAGGCTGTTTTAGTTAGTATTCCTTTGGGGAGAGACAAAAGTGAGCTGCCACACTCTCTAGTGTTTAAAGCAGAGCCAAAGGTCTGTTTAGTAGCAATAAAGGATATGGTTACATGTGTGTAAAATGCCTCATAAAGACCCAAAGACCCAGCAAATGCAGGAAACAGGGACTGTCTATCCTTGATAACACCTACTAGGCTCGTGTCATCATTGTTGGGCTATGGAGCTTTTCATTGAATTACTGAATTACACCACCAGAAACAAGGTCTTCAAATGTTCTTTAGTCCATTAAAGTAATACAGCAATCATACTTCTGAAAAAAGAGAACACTTCTTCCTTTCAAGTGCATGAAACTGCCTGCGAGTTGAAAATAGTTTCCTTAAAATTTGAAAAAGCCATGAGCGTTTCCATCCTCTTAGCTCCTCCTCCTCTGTTTCATCCTAATACCTCCACTTCCCTGCATAAATGTGTCATTACAGTATCATTATGTCTATACTATCCTCTAGCCTCCATTTAAAAGGACTTAGGTACTGTGTTCTGGGACTTACACGGGCCCATTATGTCATTAAGTCATTATGAGCCAGGACAGAGAGAAAGTAATACCCATAATAGCAGCTACATTGTGCACTACTTAAATCTCTTCTCCCGTCGTGCCTTCCTTCCTGCCTATTTGTCTGTCTGGTTGTAGATCTGTACGTTTCAGGTTACATGTCACCCTACTGAGTTATCTGCCTCCCAATGTGGATAGATTGAAGACAAACTTCAGAAGCAGTTTTAAATCATTATTTGTTGGCAATGACCGACTTACCCCAGAATTAGGATACGCTGTCCAGCCCAGTTCAGCTGTGGCCACACGAGTGTCCATCACGGTCTCTGCAACAGAGAAAGAAAAAAAAAGGAGACACAGTGGTTAGCCTCAAAAAAAGCTATTTTTAGTATCATTCGACAGTTGTACTGCATTCAAGCCCCACTGATCACTTGACACTATCATCAATGAACAGAAAGGAGATGAATCCTTCACGGCGTTTCATCCATCTCTGCTAGACTTCTGTTAAGACAAGATACATGGAAACAAAGCCCTGGCACTTTGCTGGAAGGAATGCCTAAGAGCCTCTGTCATGCTGCTAAATGTTGAGCTTTGTATTGTGTTCTCTCTGTGTGTTCATGAAACAGTATATGCATCCTGCCTTTGTCTGTGTGTATGCATGTACCAGCACGATATTTACGGGGAAAAAACAAGAGGATATTTTGGCACTTGTGTGTGTTTGTGTGAAGGAGAAACATTGTAGGGGTTTGCATGTAGCTGTGTGAGTGCTGAACTTTGTCACATTGTTTACCAAAAGACAGCGACAGCACAAATGCAGACAGAGCCCTCCAGTGCCAAGCCATTTCAGTTTGTTTGCTCCTAGTGGGGACATTCCCTGTAAATGTGTATGGCAGAGATCCTTGGTACTTTCTGTGCCAGTTCTTCTTTACCACATTTATGAAAACACATATATTTCCGAGGCATGTGGTGCACATACATGCTTCGATGAGAGGTGTAAAAGATACCTCATGTCTCTCTGTGGTTCTCAAGATACACCTTAGATAACTCCAGTGTGTGGTACGCAGGTTGAAATCAAAATGAGACAATAAAAAGTTACAACCACAGAACGGAAATTCTGACATTGAGAGGAGAAGATTTGAATTTATTTGTCTCGCTTTGCACTTGTATTACACAAGTTGTCACATTTGGCACCGTATTTCTGAAATATAAGAACAAAACGATTACACATTCTCTCTTGCTCTCTCCCCTCCTGCTAATCCTCAGTGACACACCATAGACAAATAAGTCTGGCAGCTCACACAAAACATTTGTCAGCCCTGTTTTGATTAATATCTGTCTTGCCGGCACAATGGAAATCTGGAAACTTGATATAGCTCCAGCAAAAAAAGAAAGTAGTATTGCGGTTTTCGCGCACTACTAGTCTCTCCTGCTCCTCTTTCCTACACACACACACAGATTTATGGAATGATGATCTGGGTGGCATGTTGGTCTTAGAAGTGTAATGGCAGACACATAATTTATCTATAACAGACAGTATATTATCTTAATCTTCCATCATGTTGACACCTTCCATCTTATTTCACTTTTTTATATCCCCTACCACAACATTGCAACATGCCCTTGACTCTGCTTGTTTCTTCCCAGATAAAAGCTGGGAGACATTAGAGTGAACGGTACATCTGGATGATGATGACCTGCGGTAGATAAGCAGGGCATGTGGGAATTTTCAGAGGAACTGCGGTTGCCGTGTCTTTTCTTGGACATCATCCAAAATCAGAGCCAACGGTTGGCTAGCGACGCCCACACGTGTTGTTGATAAGGGAGAAGTCTCACTCTGATTAAACGTCCTTGTTCGAGCCCTCAGCGCCCTCCCTTTACCTAGTCCTCCACAGGAAACGCACACCCGCAGCTGTTGCTTATTTGCAATCTCACTGAACTTGAAGCGATTTAGAAATCATTTGAAATGATGTAGCACTCAAAACCCGTCATCTGCAGTTCAAGTGGTCTTGGTTAAAAAAAAAAAAAAAAACAAGTACACCGAAAATGAGTGACAAGGCAGCAGTAGGAAGGAAAGAAGCCTTTCATTCTCGATCTCCACTTACTGGGAGAAACTGTCCTCAGACATGAAACTAATTAGCCTAGGTAATACAGCTTCACACACAAGCACCTACATATATTCACATTAAGACAGACACATGCAGCAGATGCACATAGTGCGCACACACACACACACACACACACACAGGTGCATTCACTAGCCAACTCAGAGAGCAATTTTCTGTGTACACCTACAGCGACAGCCTTGTTCACAACCGGCTTCCATCAGAGTATTTCAATTTCCCTAAGATCAGCCTTGCCTTGTCTAGTTTCCACAGCCAGCCAGCCTGGCTGCATGTATGACTCGCTGTCAGCTGGAGAGATAGGAGCATGAAACAGCCCTCAGCAGCTAGCCAGCATTGTGGGGACTGCCAACCGTTTCTCAGGGGAAATCACAGAAGCTTTAGGCAAATCACACAAGCGCTTGGTAGGCCATTTACTATTTCCTTTTAAATTGGGAGGGAGGCAGGAGACAAAAGGCCACAGGAGGCGTGGATTGGCCACGTCATGTGGCCTAATGTCTACCATTAGCAGAATATTAGAGTAGGAAATGAGTAAATGGAGTATGCTAAGTGGTTATTAGCAACAGGGTGGGGCTCACACAGCTGTCACACACCTGTCCACCGGCGCAAGGGATTTGGAAAAATGTCCCATGTGTATGTCTACGTGTGTGGGTTTTAAATTAGCTGTTATGCGGGCAGTTCATCCATTTAACCATAAGTGGATATTAAGAGTTTCAATTTAAAATGAGCTGCCCCACATTAATTAGAAATGCTGACTCATTCAAAAATCACAAGAGGTGCATTTCGGTTTACTGCTGAAATTATAAGTCATCCAGTGACCTATAGTTTCAAAACAATTAGGTTTCAGAGCAGGTAATCATCTATATGGTTTATTTTAAAAAGCAGTGATTAACTTAAGGGCTTCTGGTTCACTACAAATAACATTTTTCTGATAAATATACAAATGAACATGTATATATTTTGGGATCAAGTATTTCTCTGTTTAATAGATATTCCAATGATTCATGCTTGGACAAAAAAAAGCAGTAATTATAAATTTGCATTTTAAGCAGGCGGAGCACTTCTTGCCCCTGGTTTATCTTTCCTCACAGTCTGTTGGTTCTAGTAGTTTAACGAGAGGTCGCCCTCTCAGTTTAGACCATAAAACCCTCTTAAAAACAATTAGTTCTCTTTTCTCTGGCTCGGTTATATCTGACCACACATCTCATTACTCGGGCTTTCTTTCAATTTTACCAAGTCATTTAGAAGACAAGGAAAGACAGCTAGCTATAGCCACTCACATTTGGAAGGGAGCCCGGAGTTTCCCCCCCCTCCTGCATTCATATTCTGCTATGTCAGCTCTACCTGAAAGCGCCAATAAATTAAACCGAGCCAGGTTCACTAGCAGTTCAGTCTGTGGGAAAATTATTAACATAGAGAGCTTAATGTTGACTATGTAACCATGGCTCATAAATCTATCTGAAAACAATAGCTTGCAGATGTCAGGGTAGCCAGCCTTAAATGGATTCAAAGAGCCACGAGGATAGGGGATGAATTGTGACTACACTTCAGATGAGTAGTTACTCTAAATCACACAATAGATGTGGGTTGGCTCCTGGTATAAGGTTCAGTCAAGCCGATACACTGCCAGCACTAGTCAAAACCCAGAAGTTACAAACTGAGCCCTAACCGAGGCTCGACCGAAGGCCTACAGCGTCCAATTCCAGATAGCACAGCTCCTTCTCATTAGCAGCAAGTGATAGATCAATACCAAATGGTAAGCTGTTTCCACAGATCGAGAGCGAGGGATCGAGAGAGGGAAGGAGAGAAATGAAAGAGCGAGAGAGACTGCATTAAACATTGATGGAGCCCTGCATTACAGATCAATAAGGCAGCGCTCTTCACACAATTACACGTCAGCGAGCAGTGGCATGATGCATCACATGCACACGCATGATTACATATTGAAAGAACATATATAAGAAAGGAGTTCATAGGAGAAAAAAACAGCAGGAACAGATTCCCCAGTCTCTCCAACATCTTTGAGTCTGTATGTATGACTTTAATTCTGCAGTATGAAAGACAGAATGGCAGTGTCTGTGTAATTCCTGCCTTTGCGGCCATGTCTGTACGACTGTATGGATGCTGGTCGATACAACATGTGCTGAAGCGCCTGGCTCCTTAGCCGTTAAGGCAGACAATTCTCTGTGGATTCCGGTCCCACCCCATAACACATCTTTTCCATTCCTCTGTCCTTTTAACCCCATCTCCACCCCGACCCCCACCACTCCATCCCCCTGTCCAATGATGCTGGTACACTTTGTAATTCAATAAGCCAATCATGTCCAGATGTTGGTTGCTGGGCTGAGAAGTCCTTCTCTTTATGATTGTAGCAACAAACTGAAATAAGATTCGAGGACCTTGGATGACATTATTTAAGAAGGGTTTATCTTTGCTCAGAAATGGAATCAAGATGGGAGGATGGAGAGAGAGGGAGATCGAAGGAAAAAGACAGACAGAGGAAAAGGCACAGATGAAAAACCAAGAGGAGAAATCAGTGGGATTGAAACGAACACTTAACAATGATGAGGCCCCGTGGCAGCCTGCTGAGCCTGGCATCTTAATATGGGGCTGAAAACAAAGTGACAAACAAAGAAGAGTAAAAAGCTGCAGCATCTCCCAAACTAATCAGCCGTCCAGCCAGGGGATTTAAGAATAAACAAGGAATATTTTGGACAAAGTCAAGTACTTTGTGAACAATCTGTCTGGAGGTTTCTCAAACAGATGGACCACACTCACTCACTATAACCTCAGAAATCACACAAAAACAATTGGAAGGTTGTACAAACTCAAGTCCAGCATTGAACTGATTTGAAAACTGTGACTAGATTTATGGCCCAGTACTGCTTTAAGAGGGGACATTGCTGATTGAGTTACTATGTTCAAGAGAGAACACGATCCTTGCAAGAACAGATGTGAGACTTTCCTAATCTGCACCGCACTAAAGCTGTGTCACTCACACTGAAGGGTTTTCGCTTTAAATAGAAGATGAAGAACAGTCAACAGAAATACATCAAAAGAAATGTTACTTCTCTGTCTCCCTGAAGACAGAAATGACAATGTGGTTGATTTGAAAATTGAACAGAAAATAATCTGCCATCCTCTGAGACATTAACACGGAGTGATGGGATACACAGGTTTTGCATCACCGAGTCGCAGACAGAATT